GACGTCGCGGACCGACTCCTTGACGTGGAACTCGCAGCCGAGGTTCATGCGCAGCGCGTCAAACACCGCAATGTGGCCCTTCGCGCCGCCGAGAAGCAAGTTACGGCCGTTCCGCGTGTAGTCAATCTTGTACGGCCCAAACGTGTCGAGGGTCAAGTCGAACATCTTGTTGGCCGTGTTGATGTCGACATGCTCAGCGAGCTGCTCCTGCGTGAATCGGTGCGTCTTCTCGAGACCTTCCGCAACCAGGATCCTACGCAGGGCGTGAGCGGTGTGGTTGAAGCCATCGTCGTGAGTACCCTGATTCTTCGGGCAGAAGAATCTCGGCCTTCGCCGCCTGCAACGCCGCTTCCGAGAACTTCTTGTCGCTGCGCTTGAGCTCCGACTTGAGCTTCTTGTCGGACGTGTTCTGTAGGCCATGGAGATGCATTAGGCATTGTCAAGCAGCGAATGCGTTAGGTAGGCGTACGTGGATGACGCGGCCTTCCGGCGCAGGGCGCAGGTACTTGCCGACGTTCTTCGTCTTGGGCTTCTTGGCGTTGGTGGGCTTCATGTCCTGGCCAAGGCGCTTGGGCGCCCGGCGCTCGTCAACCACCTCGCTGTCGCTCATGCTGCTAAGATCGATGAACACTCGGCTTTTGGTTAGACCAACCAATCTGCAGCATCCAATAACCAATCAGAGAATCGACATACACTATTTTATGACAGCAACCGCCATCCTGATTGGTGGAAAGGCGGCGAGCGCGCAGAGCGTGCCACGACAGCGATGTCAAAACGACCGCGAATGGACATTCGCCCAAGCTACTGTAGAACCTACTGAGCCTACTCCATCCAAGCCATTGGCACACACGTGGCTGTATCCCATTGGTGACAGAGCTACAGGAAGACGGAGCAGCAACACTGATACACAGCGACCTGCGGAGAAGACCCTTCGAAAGTGCTGGTATCGACGTAGATCTCTTGCCTCATCCATCGCGCTGTCAGATGCCTACGCTTGTCTGTGCTACTCGGGTGGCACCCAAGATCGACTTGCTCGCGGCCACAGTCTAGAGTGGGTAGCTGCATGTAGCCGCCGAGAGACTCCACGCTACCCTTTTCGTCGGGGTGGCGGCTTGCGAGGTTATCCGGACTGGCCAATCGTGATTGGTCGGTCCGAAATTATACGAATTTAATGCACGGGCCTAAAACAAGCTTGAAGTTTGTATGCGTGCGTCGACTCTAGCAACAAATCCTCCATCCAGCTGAGGCAGGAGCGATCGATGGCAGAGCACCGCGAGCAGGCGCCGACGAGCATGGCCCGCGACGACGATAGCTGGGAGCATGCAGCCGAGGAAGCGGTGAGCATGAAGCTCTCGCGCATGCAGATCCGCGTGCCCAATGACCCGCCGTCCAATGATGGTACCCCGATGGCGACGCTGTCGAGCCCCGTGAGCCGCGGGGGCGCCGCGGCCGTCTCTGCAGCGTCATCTTCCGGCCCACTCGATCCTGTCTTGGTCGGCGCGCTTGAAAACCCTCGCGAGCGCTTGACGTTGCTCAAGTTTGAAGACCAGATCGTCAGCTTTATCCGCGCTGGCCGGTACAGGACACCTGCGTATGTGCTGCGATGGCGCTCATCTATCTGGGTTCCTATAGAGAGATGCAGCTCGTGTTTCCGCCGCTCTCTTCGTACCACCGCCTAATCGTGCATCGGCTCGCGGACCGTTGCTTCCTCGAGCATGAAACGGGGGATTACAATCCGTACGCGGGTGGCTTTGACGCAGGGAACGCGGCGCGCGTCGTCACGCTTTTCCGAACGCCGCGCTGCGCCGTACCGCCTGTCCTCTTCATTGACCTCTCGGCCGAGCAGAACCAGCCAGAGCCGCCGCGCCACCACACGATCGCGCCCAAGATCATGGCGCGCAAGACCAACAACGACAAACAGAAAAAGCATGCCAAGACGCCGGGCGCCGACGCGCGATCGCGGAACCTTGAAGACCGCGAGAAGGCGTACGCGGAAGCCCGCGCGCGCATCTTTGGCGAGACGACCGACGCGCCTGCGAAAGCAGCGCCGACCAAGGCGGCCAAGCAGCCCGAGAAGCCGCGACCGCAAAACTGGAAAGAGAGCAAAGTGACGTGGCGCAACCGCGAGCAAGAGCTCAACGATCCGGACTTTACGCGCCATCGAACGCCGTACCGAGCGCCGCCGACGTACCACCAGCACCAGCCGTCGCCAGTCGGATACTACGCGCCGCGTCCTGTGCTTGACCCGACCAACGAGTACAGCCGAGGAGACGCAAGTGCGTTCCGGCCGCCGCCGCCGCCGACCGCCTACTACCAGCAACCGCCGCCGCGAACGTACTCGGGGTTTGCGCCGCGGCCGATGCAGCGCGAGAGTAGTTCCAAGCCCAACCTCACGTGCAACGACGACTTTCCACCGCTCGGCCAGTAGAAGCATTGGACGCGTGTATAAAGAACGTCCATTTTATTAACTAGACCTGGCGCTTCTGCTGCTTGTGCTGCTGCTTCTTGCTGGACTGCTTGCGTTTTCGCTTGGCGTCCTACACACTCGCGTGACGATCGCCCCATCAACGTTGCGATCGACCTGTCGCTTGCGCTGGAGCTTGTGGTACAGTTTGAGCGTCGCGTGGTCGTCGGCCGACGTGTTTGCCTCGGCCCTGTACACAGTCAACGTATGTGAGGCGACTCGAGTGATGATGGCAGTCGACCTCGCTTGAATCGCATGGTAGAGCGCACTCTTGAGGCGGTTCGTGACCACCACTTGGCGCGCGAGCTCCTGCTCGCACTTGCGGAGCTCGACACTCACCTCGTCGTCGTCGCGGACGAGTATTGCCGCATCGTCGTCGGCGTCCACGGCGCCGATAGCTTGAAGCTCCTTGCGCAGGAAGATGTTGGTCTCGTTCATGTCGACGTCGAAGCTGGCGGACGCCGTCATCTCGGGCGGTTTGCCGTCCATTTCGGACGCCACTTCGCATTCGCCCTCTTCAACGAGAGCCCCCAAGAGGCGCTACAATGCTTGGTTGGTCGCTTGCTGCAAGATGCAAGGTTGCGTACGCTGGTGAGACATTCGGTTGGCGGCGACAGCTTGTCGTCGTGGGGCGCATTGCGGTCGGATGGATCCCGCGACGCCAACGATGATGTCGAGCCGTCGTCCGAATCTGTCGCGGGCTCCAAGGGACTGGATACCCTTGCTACACCACCTGTATGATGCACCGATAGCGAGAGAACGCGCCGACGTACGATGCTCGATTTCCAGGGCGCGGTCGACCTCGAGCGATGACAGCGGCTTGAAAAAGCCCGCGTCGTGGAGGAATTGCCAGCAACCCGCGGTCGTACATGGCGCGTCGTCTACACACTTGCTTCGTCAAGAGCATGCGATAGAGCATGCTACCTGCTGCTTGCATGTCGCCGAGGTTTGGATCGCTCGGCGGCGGTGGTATTACGCCATCGCCCTGCGTCCGCGGCTGCTTGCATGGTAGTATTGCTGCCATATTGGATGTCGCTGCCAGGGCTGGCGTGGATACGAGCGGCTCGGTTGCGGCGTGGTGTGATCGCTTGTGCGAGCGCTTTGTCTTTCGTTTTGCTGGCACGGCGGACATGTCGAGCCCAGACGGCGTCTCGGTGTGTCCGTGCGTGATCCATTGGTCGAGCTCGAGGAGCTTCCGCCGAAAGTCGTCGAGTTGGTCCTGCACGACGCGCTTGGCACTGCGCAGCTCGTGGAGCACGCGCGACGACGTTTGCCGCTTCATGCCCCGGAAAGACTCTGGCGTGCTGGCTGTTTTCTTAATGGTCGGGAAGTGCACGTGCTGGACCCAGAGTTGCCCGGGCGCAGCGGCGTCGTCTACCTGCTTGGCAGGTGCTTCTGCGTCGGCGGTTCGTCGCACGCCCAGCGGCGGCTCGGCGAAGACAGACGCGTGGACCATCGGCGCTGCGTGACGCTTTGTGAAAATTCCGTCCGAATTTTTATTCCCTCGACTCAGACCTCGCATACAAACCCAAGCTTCTTTTTTAATCAATGCCGTTCGACATCACTGGACTTTAGCCCATCGTCGATCTTTAGCTGGCCGCGACGATCGATGGCTGCATGAGCAAGCCATGCACGTCGGCGAGCACGACGCGCTTGTTCGGAACGTCGTCCGCCGCATCGGCGCACGAGGCGAGCGAGGCCAGCAGCGCCATGCTCTCGGGAAACTCGCGGCGCGCCCAGTGGCACGCGGCGCGATGCAGCGTGTTTTGCCACTCGTCGTCAATGCGATCCTACGTCGTTCTCACACGTCGATCAAGGCCCAGAGCCGTCTAGCTGCACGTACGATCGTGCTGTACGTGCGCAGCGCATTGGCAAAGTCGCCTTGGAGGTGGTACACTTCGGCGAGCAGGATCTGCAGGCCATTGACGACGAACGCAATGCATATCAATCACGTACTTGGTTCTCGCGCACCTCGGTGGTATCATGGATAATCGCGAGCTCGAGGTGGTTAACGACAGCGTCAAGCGTCGCAACGGATGGCTCGGCGTCTTCAAGGAGCGTGTGCGCGAGGTGCGTGTACGCCCGGCCGTACGTCGGGTCCTCGGTCACCGCGCGTCGAAACTGGTCGCTACACAATTGCGCCACCGTGCTGCCGCGTTCATGGTGCTGTACCATGCGTCGGTGCGCCGCGATAGAGCCAGGTACGCCAAGCCGAGGTTGAAGTGCACGTGCGCCTTGTTCTCGCTGGCGTCCTGCGCACAGAGACGCTGCTCGAGCTCCAAGCTCACTTGAAGGACGTCGTACAACTCCTCGGTCGAGACTTCGTTTGGGTTGCCTCGCCGCACGTTCGACACGTCCAGAGGCAGGATCGCGGCTTTGGCCTCACCGGATTTCAAGCCAAAGGCCGACGACCAGAACGAGGACCCATCGTCTTCCGGTAGCACAACCTCCGGCGGTGGGATCTCGGGCTCTGCGGGAACGTTTGCAACCGCAGGCGCTTCGACCTTGACCTTCTTCTTGCGGCGCCAACTAAGTCGATTGCCCATTTTGGCGCCGGTTGGATCTTGACTAAATGCACGCAGCACTGTGTCCATCGAGATGTTTTCAAGCACAGCCTGCAGAGTTGATAACCATTTCTTCTACGTCACATAAATGAAATAGTCGGCAAAGACCGCGTCGACCTGTGAGATGCAAAGGAACCGAGGCCTGACCGCTTGCCACGTGCAGTCCGAGCAACAGTAGTTGCGTGCGCGTAGCCAAACGGTTTCGGCTTGGCGACCATTCCGGATGCTGCGAAGCGTATCCGGTTCGCCGAAGCGTCGGGGCAAAAGGTGCACCAGACCGAAAGTGTGATGCCCCGCGCCCGAGGCGGCAACCATTCTGTCGTGCCGGCGCATCAAGTACTGCTGGCACGTGTTTGATCCACCGCTGGGATAACTACCTGCAACGCGAAATGAGCGACTCGCTCAATTGAGCTGCAATTATTGTGAAGCCTAACTTGGTGTGAGCGGAGCTAGTGCTGTCGATTTTACATCAAAGCCCTCAACGAGGTGCAGCTGCATGCAGGCCGTAGCTATATACCGTCGTCGTCGTCGCCTCGGCGCGACGAGCGTTCCCTGCAGCGTTGTGGCGGCGAGCGAGTCTTCGGTGCGGAAACGACCATTTCGGTGCGCTTTTGCGTCGAGTGCGTCGGATATAGTTTCCCTCCATTTTCAGCGGCCAATCATTGCCGTTCGAGCCAACAGCCCGCTGGGGACGGACGAGGTCGCGCCGAGATGAAGGTGGACACCCCCGAGATCCGATGGCACTGCGGCCCGACGGGGCTCAACGAGGCTGTGCTCACGATCGATTTTTTGCGCCAGGCGGCCACGCTTGCGCATGCGGCGTCGCCGGACGCGCCCGCGACCACAGCTGCCGCGCCGACGATCGTGGCCGAGAACGTCTCGAGCGTCGTCTTTCCAGCGGTGTTCCAATCGCAGGTTCTCGCAACGGGCGGCGCAGACAAGGAAATCAAACTCTGGGTCTTCAACGAGCAGCACCTGACGTACGTACACGGCCTCTCGGGCCACGACCGCAGCGTCAACTGCGTGCGCTTCTCGCCCAACGGCGAGTTCCTCGCGTCGGCCAGCGACGACTCTACGATCGTGCTCTGGATGCGGCCCAAGAACGTCGACGCCGCGTCGTGGAGCTGGCAGACGATCTCGAGCAATAGCGATGTGACGCGTGTCCTCCTCGCGTGCGGCCACAAGGGCGACATCACCGACCTCTCGTGGTCGCCTGACTCGCAGTACCTCTCGTCCGTGTCCATTGACAACACGTGCGCGATCTGGCACGTCGCGAGCGGCAACCTCGTCGAGAAGCGCAAGGACCACACGCAGTATGTGCAAGGCGTCGCTTGGGACCCGCTCAGCGAGTTCCTCATCACAGAAGGCAACGACCGGTCGTGCCGCGTCTACGCATTGAGCGGGTACGGCGTCGAGGCCAAGAAGAAGAAGAAGGTACAGATGCTGCATACGCTCCGCGCGCGCGAGCTCGAAGCCGAAGCGATCGAAGGCGAGAAGACGCCAAAGCATGCCATGTTTCACGACGACACCTTCACGGCCTTCTCGCGTCGGCTCACGTGGACCCCGGATGGGAGCTACTGCTTGGTGCCCACGGGTACGTCGACTTCCTTTCCAAAAAGAGCCTTCTTCGACGCATCCCAGGTCTCTTCAAGCCGACGTCGACGACGGTCGATGCGACCCACACCGTGTACGCGTACGCCCGTGGCAACCTGACGCAGCCCGCGTTCCACCTGCCCGGCCACGCCAAGGGCGCGCTCTGCGTCCGCTGCAGTCCGATCTTGTATGCGCTCACGACCAGTGTCGCCGAGAACCTCTTCCGTCTCCCGTACCGCTTTGTGTTTGCCGTCGCGACGCTTGACGCCGTCGCTATTTATGACTCCCAGGTACGCGCAGACCGCTCGGGTCGTGTTCCTGAGCGTGTATTAGCTCTTGCACCCGATCGCGGTCATTGACCGGCTGCACTACGCCGACCTCACGGACATGAGCTGGTCGCAGAACGGGCAAATGCTCTCCCTCTCGTCGCTCGACGGGTACATTTCGTTCTTGACGTTTGACGACGCAGAGCTCGGGCAGAAGCTGCCAGCGACCGACTTGGCCCAGCTCCTCCACGATCGACATGCACACATGCATACGCAGCAGCCAACACCGGCGCGGGCCCAAAGCGGCCACGGAAGCCGACAAGAGCCCTGCAGCTACTGGCAAGAAGCGCGCGACACACAAGCCGTCCGAGGCAGAGAAGAGCCCGAGTGCTGGGAAGAAGCGCGCGGCCAAACCGACGGAAACAGACAAGACTGGTGGGCCCAAGAGCCCGCTTCTCGGACCCAAGAAGGCAGTCAACTCGATTCTGCAGTTCACCAAGGTCGTCGCACCCGACTCGGGGTTCCAGCAACCTGCGCTCGGACCGCTCATGGACCTCGTATCGACCGCCGACCCTGGCGCACCTGCCGTGACGCACAACGTGCAAGTCCGGAAGAAGCGCAAGATCACGCCGGTCCTTGTGACTGCGACACCGAGCGAGGAGCCCGTGGACTTGACGGGCTCGGACGGCGAGCGTGCAAAGGGAGACAGCAAGGCGCCGTAGCGCTCGTAGAATACCACCTCATGCATGCAAATGTCGTCGTCTGTGTTACGCTTAGTAGGCGCCCTTCATGCTCGGAAGCTCAAAGGCTTTGGCCGTCTTGAACGCGAGAAAATACCCATACGCAGCGCCGAGGCCGGCGAGGACGAGGATGTTGATCCAGTTGAGGAGCGAGTGACTCTCCGGCGACGCGACTTGGGCGCGGAACATGGCGAGCGACTGGAGCGAGAAGCACAAGCAGTAGGCTTGGCAGAACGTCTTGCGAATGAGCGCGTCGCCGACGAGGCGCGTCTTCCAGACAAGCCAGCCCTGGGCCAGCGTCAGCGCGCCGTAGAGCCGCACCATCTCGTGCACAAGGTGGCCATACTGCGGCGTCTGGAGCGCAGCCATCGCGAGAGAGTGCGGCAGCAGCAAGCACGCGCTGCCGATGACGATCGAGATGCTCGCATGCACAACGAAGAGCAGGTCGAGTTGCCGGCGCGCTTCCTGCATGGTCGTGGAATTGGTAAATTAATATTCCGGGGGCCCATTTCGGCCCTACAAACTTCAAGTGTCAAGCCAGCGTTTCCGGCCACAGACCAGATGACGACGCTAATGAGCCGCGCCGTTGGCGTCCTGCTCGCCGTCGCCGTCGCCGCGACCGCCATGCGCACGAGCATCCCATCCGGCGACCCCGAGTGCTTCCTCCTCGAGGCGCAGAAGTTCAAGGAGGGCATCTCACTCAACTACGACGTCATCGCTGGTATTGGCGAGGAGCTCGAGACGACGTTACTCAGCCCGTCCGGCATCCGCCTCTTCCACGAGGTCGGGCCGAAGGGCCGCTTCGTCACGCCCGTGCCCGAAGACGGCCTCTTCCAGGCGTGCTTTGGCCACAAGAGCTCCGTGCCCCTCGTCGTCGGCTTCTCGTTCCACGCCGACGACCCGGCCCACGACGTCGTCTCGAACGCCGACGCGACCAAGATTGGTGCGATCGCAATACGCTGCATTGCCTCCTCATGATGATGGCGGGCTCTGTAGAGCAAGCCCGCGCGGTCGAAGACATGGTGTACGAGCTCAACACGCACCTCGACACGGTCAAGGATACGCAATCGTACCTCAAGGCCAAGAACCTCCTCCACCAGCAAGGTACATCTGCACATCTTCCTGCTGCAGGATGACGAGAATGCTCATGGACTCTAGTCGTCGACAGCACCAACAACCGCGTCCTGTGGTGGTCGTGCATCGAGGCCATCATCCTCATGTGCATGGCCTTCTGGCAGATGAGCTACCTGCGCCGGACGTTCGAGGTCCGACGCGTCCTTTAACATGTACAGCCTTCACCTCGTTGTCCTTGTCCATGTCATCTTCATCGTCATCTTCCAGCATCGTGTCTTGGGCGCATGGGCCTTTGTTCGGCAATATATTATTTCGATGGATCGCCGTGTTTTTTTGCCAAGCGTTTAATCCACTTGGCCATTTGTATGCAACGACACGAAGATGTAAAAAATGTCGTGGGGTTGTCGGGTTGTTGCCAAAACCCACTTGTTCCAAAACTGCTTGATGCAAGTGTTCCGGTCCTTCCTCGGCGCGGCCGGGTCCGCGGACCAGCGCAATGCGATCAAGGACGTCATCGCCATGGGCGACGCCGGGAAGAAGCGCTCCAAGGACGACGTGCTCCATGTACTGCATGCGTTCTGCGACGTCTTCCCGCTCGAGGTACGCGCCATGCAGTCGACGAGGACGATGCTGGATGCCATTCCATGTAGGCTGACCGGAAGAGCATGGACATGGAGGATGACTATGACGTCAAGGACCGCAAGCTCTACGATGCAGTGTACCGCTTGCTCAAGGTGCATGTCGACACGAGCGCCAGTGGCGGCGACGAGTCGGACGTCGTCTTGGTCCTCCTCGACACGCTTAAGCGCATCCTCAAGTGGCGCGACCTACACAAGCTCGTGCCCAAGTACTCGACAAAGCCGCTGCTCACGTGCATGGTATCTCTGCGCTGTGTCTTCGCCCATACTTGAGCGTGTGCCTAGATGTGGACACCGGTGCTCGCGCTCTCGGTGCTCCAGGTCGTCACCATCATGATGCTGCGGCCGACAGGTCTCAAGTCGGCCGAAATTGGCGACAAGATGGAGATGATGAACAAACGCACCTTTGCCGACGACCGCGGGTACCCGGTTCTCTGCAGCCTCGTCGCGCAACACAGCGTCGCGTCGGACGATGCGAGCCACAACGCGTGCTCAAGCAGCATCCTGCAGCAAGCGCTCCAGCTCTTCCATATGACGCTCATCTCCAACAAGCAGACGACGGACCCTGTGACGCTGGAGCGGGTTCATTTCTTCCGTCGCCTCCTCGGTCCTCATCGCATCCTCGTACTGCGTAGGCCGCCGAGTCGCTCTTGCAGGCGCGGGAGACACTGCTTCGGCTCTCGCACCACGAAGATCCAATGATCCGGCACGTGAGCGTCGACTTGCTCTTTGAATTGTTCTTGCTCGCCGGCCTCGACCAGGTCACGCTCATCCAAGACTCGGCGCGCGAGTCCGGCGCGCTCCTGTACATGCTTGCGGCGGCCCTCGATGACGTACGTCGTCCATCCGTGCCATCGTCGTCGTCTGGATTCTCTATATGTAGGTACCGTCGGCCGACGAGCTTCAGGTTGCGATCCGAGACAAGTCGATCGCGCTCGTCGAGATGTTTTGCGCGGGCAATGCGCGGTCGAAAGCGGCCATGTATCGTATTTTGCCTGTCGAGCTCTTTGTGCCGATCGAGGACCGGCCCGACCTCGTCTCCAAGTACTCGATCGCGACGCTCAAGAAGGCGACCAAGGTCACGCAGCGCAAGTCGATCCCGGTGGACTTTGCGTACATGGGCTTTCCGTTCCGACCCGAGTTTTCCGCGTCCGGGTCGATCGGGCCGCGCCCGCCGCTCGAGTTTCAGGTGCGCGCATTAGAAAACGAATGGCACCCCCATGGCTTGTATCGTAGCGATGGCTCCAGGACGCGCGCGCGCAGGGCGAAAAGTGGACCGAAGTGCTCCTCGCAACGCGACAAGCGCACGAGCGACCGACGTTAGTGTGGCGTGCACCCATGCTTCGCGAACTCCAAAGCGCACTCCGCAATGAAATCGCATCGTTTGAAGCCAAAGTCGCCGCGACGCCGACCGTGCGTACGAGCAGCGGCCCTCATATGGTGCTCTGGGACTACGATCAGTTCCAAATCACATACGCCTCGTTTGCGTCCGAGCTCATCGTGCACGGGTACTTTATTGAACACTTGATCCCGAAGCTCGCGAACCTCGCAGATCCCTTCGAGGTACGATGCACGAGGCCTTAGTCCGACAATCGCGAGGCGCTTGTATCTTGTAGGTAGACGACTTGATGGTCCTCGCGTGGCATCTCTCCGACCGGCTGAGCGTCGAAGAGAATGCGCACTGGCGCCACTGCTGCGTCAAGTGCCTTCGCCTCATGATGCGTCGGTACGCCATGACGTTCAACGGCCAGCTGCCTGTCGCGGGGCTGCTCCGTCAGCTCGCGGTGGATGATGTCGACCCAAGCTTTGCGTGCGAAGCCTTTCTGCTCTTCCACGTCGCCATTAGCACGTCCCGGACGCGCCCGACCGAGAGCCTCTCGCCCTTTTACGCGTCCATCCTTTCGGTCGTGCTGTCTGTGCTGCAGCAGGCGCCAACCCGAATCGCAGGTCGGCCGTCGCGCCTCAGCATGGCGTCGACGCTGAGCGAAGGCGGCGACGACGAGAGCTTCCACTTGCGCCTTACTTTCGACGTCGAATACACGCAGGAAGAGTCGAGCGCCAAGGACGATGACGCGGCGGCAGACGTCGATGCGATGGTGCGCGCCGGCGTCAACATCATTCTCGTCATCCTCCAGCGCGCCAAAGCATTCGTGCCGCAGGTTCTGAACGCGCGCATGTCGCTCGGCCGGCTCCTCACGTCTGGATACTTGAGCCACAAGACGCTGCATACGCTGATTTCTCTGCTCTCGCACATTTGTTCGCACCTTCAGACGGACGACTCGCTCATCTACACGCGGTCGCTGCTCCCTTTGGTATTTTTTGCCAGTGCCAACGTCCACAACAAGGGCATGTGCATCGCGGCGGCGAGCTTCCTCGCGGCGCACTACTCGCCAAGTGACGTCCAGTCGCTGCTGGAGACGAGCGTGGGCTTTCGCGGCTGCGGTATGCACTTGCTCTTGCCAACGCCCATGGTGCTAGCTGCTGTCTTCAACCACGACACGATCCAGTCCGCCGACGTCATTTGGAGCGCGGCGCTCCGCCTCAAGCTCTTGAAATCCCTTGCGACAACGCTGCATGTGGCGTTGCCGCTGACAGACGACGACGTCGACGAGGACAAGCAGACCGTGCTTCCAGACTTTGACGTTCCCGTTGGCCACCTCTTCTTACGGTCGTTTGTCGAGTGCCACGGCAGCTTTCGCGCCGAGTGGAGCCGAGAGATGTACGAAGAAACGCTGATGGCGCTCACGCGGCACGTCGTGCTGTCGCGCACGAGGTCGTTGTACGGCATCAACCTTGCTAGCGACGACAGTCCAGACCCCATGGCGCTCCAAGTGCTCGCACTAAAGGCCCTCGCACTTTTCTTGCCAGCATCCCCGCACGATATCGCTCTAGACGACGCACTCTTTGATGCGCTCTTGCAACCGCTGCGCCGGACGCTTCTGGGCGAAGTGGACCAGGTACCCCTCAACGCACATCGTCTCGGATTGTGACCGATATGTAGGAGCGGACGGCCGAGGGTCTGCGCATCTGCCGGCTCCTCATCGCCCCCGAGCTCGGCAACGTGAATGCCCGAGCCTGCTTGACCACATTGTGCTCCCCGCAGACGATGCAGCTGCTTCGAGACGCGCTCGAGAAGACGCTGCATCCGCGCTTCCTTCAGTTTCTAAAGGAGCAGCCCTGTGACGAAGGCTCGGCCATGGCGCTCTTGACTGCGCTGCTGGATACGCTTGCAGCCATGGCACAGTCGCTCGACGGCGTCGCCGCGTTGCAGAACCACCCGCGCTGGATCACAAGCGTCATTGCGCACGCCTCGACGAGCCACATTCAAGGTCTAAACAGCGATAAAGTACCACGGACGTCTGCTACGCATCAAGTCACATTCTTGGTAGGTTGCAACCGTGTGTCTCCGCTTTCTTCAAAAGCTGTGCGTGCTGCCGGCACTGCAGCAAGTGTTCATCGATGCGGGCGGCCTCATTTCAATCAGCGACGTGTGTATCGCCGTGGACCAGGCCGATCCGCGCACACACGACACGGTCGAGCTCGCCGCGTCGGTGCTGCAGGCGTGCTTGCCCGAGCCAGGACACGCTATGACGCCCGCCTTTGCGGCCTTGACACAGCTCTACACGCCCGGGCTCGTGCAGGTACGACCATTAAGTGTAGAAGAAGGTTTGACGCTTGTGTCTTGTAGCTCTTGAGCAAGTCGACACTGGATTTTCTCTGCAGTCTGCAATCTCCCGAGCCTATTTACCAACCCACGTTGGTGTGGACACTCTCGTACGCACTGGCTACTTGATGGTATTGAATGTTATTTCCTCTGGCTCGATAGAATGCAAGACCAGCTCCGGGATGCGCTGCGGAGCGAGCAAGCCAAGATGGCGCTCAATGCCAAGTCGGCGACGACGTGGCCAGTGTGGGACCCCGATAACTTTGTCGCAGCCGACTCGTTCCGGTACCTTTACCCCGAAGTCGCCAACGAGGTGCTCGTGGCGCACGTCTACTTGCGTGCGTTCGTTCAAAGTGACTCGGACCAGCTACCGGACATGATTGACCTCCCGCAGTTCACCAAGGTTGATTTGCGTTTCCATTCTTCAACGGCAGTGTTCTTATTGATGATGTACATAGGCGCTGCTGTACGCCATGGAGAGCAGCGAAGCCGCGCTCCTCTCGATCAAAGCGGTGCGTCGCCTCTCGTCGCAGCGAATGACTAAACGAGTTGATGGCGTAGAGAGGAGGGAACCCGCAAAAGCAGCAAGCGCTCCTCGAGCTCTTCCGAGGCGCCTTGCGCAAGATCGCGGTCGACCACCGGACCCTCCTCGACGTGCGTCTCCCGCCATTTATTGAAGTCGACGGGTTTAGCGACACGGAGAGCGTCGGCGATACCATCCAGAACCTCCAAGAAAGCCCGACCAACCACAGTCACTCGATCACATCCGACGACGAGAAGCCATTCACGCTCGACCACCAAGACTCGGTGCCGATCGACGAGGGCGTCGTTTAGGCCGTGACGCTCCTACTATCTATATACATTACAGCTCCCGTGTACATACTCGCGCAAGAGCACATGGCAGCGCACGCAGTGGTCCCAGCAACAACCCTTCAGATGCACATTCGCTATCTGTCTCGGGAGCCAGCACGACCTCCATGCCACCCAGCAACGTCTGCGCATCAACGCTGGGAACGTTTATTAGTACACGATAGCTGATGCAACAGATTGTGCAAGTCTTGCGAGCCCACTACCAAAAGTAGCTCGAAAATGACTTGGTCGGCGGCGCGACCGTCTCCTTGGCCACAGTCTCGGCCTTGATCGGCTCGCTAACCTCGATCTTGCCCTTCAGCTCGACGCTTTCAAACACATCGCGCAGCACGGGTGTCATGACCGACCACTGGGGGCGGCAGGCGTCGAGGAGACAACGACACTCGGTGGCGCCAAGGACGTCGTCCACCATGGTCCAGAGGTACTGCTGCCTCGTCGCTGCCTCTTCGAGATGCGCGAAAAGGTCTTCGGCAATCGCTGTCTTGGCCTTGATCTTGCCACGCAACCGCGTGCACGCCTCCGGGTCGCTGGACGGCGGCAAGTCGAAGCAGAGCTCGTCCAGTTTGCGCAGCTTGTCGGCCTTGTAGCCGTCGTTGGCGCGCATCTTGGCGTCCACGTGCGTGTCAAAGCGCAGGAGGCAGGCGCAGAGGCGCGGCAGGTCCAGGTGCAGCTGCGCCCGCGTCGCTGCCACCGCGTCCGCGTACGTCGCGTCCATCTACGCACCTAGTTGATAGCCATCGAGAGAGCTAGCGTGGCTGGTACCGCCGCCGCCGTGCTTTTCAACGCGGCGTGGCGCAGGCAGCAAATTTCGTGCAGCACCGCCACGACCATTTCGTAGCAGGCGATATGAACCTCGATGCTGTCGAGGATGGTCGCGGCGGCCTCTGTCGCGGCGCCGCGCTTGGCCATCGCAGCCATCGTGTCGACCGCCGCGACGTTGGCAGCGTCATTGTACACGGCCAGGTCCACCTCGACCTTGGTCGACGCAGGCAGCTCGGCGCGCTTGGCTCGCCAGAGCGCTTCCAGCGCAAATGCAAGCTCCACCTCTTTGGCCTTGCTCGCGTTGACCACGTGGAGCGCCGCGGTGGCCTCTGCGCGAAGGGCGCACAGTGCACTGTCGGGTATCGCCGCAGCGCTCGCGAGACGTTGACGGACGATCGCCGCGTCGGCGACAAAGGCCGATCGCGCCGCGTCGTCTCCGTGCAGACCGTGGACGACCTGCTTGCACGCGGAGTACGCTCGCTCGCAGTCATGCTCCAAGGTCGCAAAGCTGCCGATGGGGCGCTTGCGCTTCGTGTCGCCAAGGGCCGTGCACTCGTCGTCGTCGTTGTCGCCGGCGGCGGACTCGACGACAGCGTACTCGGGCGTGAGTGCGAGACCCTCGCCAATCGTCGCAGTGACCGCGCTCACGTCAAACGCGGGGTTGGCCGCCACGTTGGCGGCGAAGCGCGGCAGCAGCTGCGTGAGAAGGACTCGGAGAGACGGTGCCAGCGCGAAGCCGAGCGCTTCGGTCGCGAGTGCAGGTTCGTGGCCGTCTTGGAGGAAGGAGGCGACGGCGGCGGTCACTTTCGGAGGCAAGTCGGGCGTCGTGAGGTCGACGAAGTTGTCGGTGGCTGTCATGTGGCGTGCCATGCGTGCTGCAGGTTGCCAAGTGCTGCTTCAGGGCCGCGCGCCGCTCGCCTTCTAGAACCCGACTCGACAGTCGGTTGCGACCCGGCGCCCGACCTGTGCGACGAGCGCGTTCAGCGATCAACGCCCTGTCTGGCGCGTCTCTTCCCATGTTGGCCCTACGTCCCACATACCAAGGCACCTCGTTGCGTTCGTAACAAAGGCAAGACGTTGGATCATGCATGCATGTTGCGTCGACAATTACATGAGCGCGCAGCCGCCTCGGGCCGGGGCGTCAGCGCTGGCCGCCACTTGAATCTGGTCGTGCTCGGCCGGCGAAAACAAAAAGAGCTCGTCGAGGCTGTACTGGTCGCCATCGGCAAAGACGAGGAGGTAGACGCGGCTCGGAAGCACGCCAATGACCTGCGCCGGCGCATACAGAGCGCCGCTGCCGCTCGCAAACTTGGCAAAGACATGGTCGCCCACCTAGCGATTTACGATTTAGAGAATCGTGCATCATTTGATACGCTCCGACCTTGAATTTGGGCGGCGGGACAACGAGGTCCTGCGACCGCGGTGACGTTGGCGCATCCGGCCGAATGATGACCTCAGGTGCCGGCGGCGCTTGGGCGACTGGAGCTTGGAGCGACGAAGGTGGTGCTTGGGCGGCTGGCGCTTGGAGGAGCGACGGCGACGCATTGTGGCGGACGGCCACGGGTGATGCCGGAATGTGCGCAAAATCGGCAAAGACGTGACGCAACGGGCTCTTGAGCGGCGCGAGCTGCGGTCGGCACGCACGGACGAGCGCCTCCAACGACGCCTTCGGCACCAAGTCCTTGAGCATCGCCCAGAGCGCGCGCTGCTGGTTCGCGGCCGTCGCGAGGCCCTTGCTGCACAAGACGACCACTTCTTCAAACTCTGCCATCATGTCGAGCACTTCCTGCCGGCGCAACTTGACCATGTTGCCGAGGTGCCGGGTGTGCGTCTCGAGCTTGACCTTTTGGCAGTGCAGCTCTCGGGTCGCGTGCTTGGCCCGCTGGTCGAGCGTTGTTTCGAGGTGCGCGAGCTCCTTGCAAAGCACGGGCAGCGTGCCTTGGAGTTTCTCCAGCCCCATGCGCGACGCACTCTGCGCCTCGGTCGCCAGCTACACAACGCCATCATGCATCAGCGCCCCAGTCGTGTCTCAGCATACCGCCGTGACCGCCGCGTCCATCGTCTTGAGCCGCGCACTTTCCACGTGGTCCAGAAGGGCCTTGGCCGCCTCGTAGAACGCGTGAAAGTCCCGGGCAGCGCGCCAGAGCTTCAAGGCCGCGCCCGTGTCGAGCTCAGCACTCGCCTGTGCCGCGAGCGCAGCAACCGCCTCCGTATTGGCCTCGTCCGCAAAGACGGACCGCTGCGCCCGGATCACCGCGGCGCTCGCCGTGACGCCGGACGCTTCGGCCTTTAAACGCGCCGCTTCGACGAGCGCCTGGACCGCCGCCGCCGCGCTCTCTTCCGCGGCTTGCTTGTCCTGGAGCATCTCGTCGGCGTTGGCGACGCCAGTGGCACTCGTGGCCATCTTGGCTGCAATGCGCTCGCCGAGGTGCGTAAAGTCCTTGTAAACCGCCGCATGGAGGCGCATGAGGTCTTCCTTGGCCGTCACAAACGCCCGCATGCGCGTGGCGTAGGCGAGGCAGACGGCATGGAGCACGGCGACGTTCGTCTCGCAGTCGGACGGATGCGCCGAGAGCGTCATCTGCACCGTGCTCTCGAGGTCGGCGATTCTGTCCTCGGTCGGCCGCACAACCTTGCGCTACATATTCAACGTATGAGACGCGTGTACTGTTCGATGGATGACACGGCACCAGGCGGTCGAGGTCGTCGGCGTGCGGCAGTGCCATGACAATGTCTTGCAAGAGCACGAGCTCGTCGGCCCGGTCAAAGTCGTTCGTGTTGCAGGCTTCGGCAGCGTTGTAGGCGGCGCACGCTGCCTCGGTGAGCGCCAGCGTCTCGTCCGTCGTCACGGCCACGAGCGTCGTGAACATTTGCTGGAGGCTGCGCGTCTGCTCGACGGTCGGGGTGCCCGCGCTGGCCTCCGGCTTGGGCTCGCGCAGCTTCAAACAGTAGCTCGAGAGGTGGTTGAAGCAGTCGGCCTCGTTGCGCTCTGGAAGATCCGACATGTACGTCACGTCCATGACGTCGTCGTCGTCGTCGTCACGCTGCGACGCCTTCGACTGACTCAGCGGGACGCCCACCTCGTTCTTGATGAGAAAACCGAGCCGATCGCTGTCCAGACGAGGCGGCGCCGAGCTCGCGACGCCAAAGTACGCGTCCGAGTACTCGGCCTCTTCGGCAATGGGCGGCGACCACAGACTACCCGTGGTCACGTACGCGGGCAGCGACATGCGCGAGTTTTTCTGCCGCTTGGACGCGCCGAAATCGTCGCCATTGCGCGTGCGCTTCTTGGCCTCGTCGCGCTTGGAGATGCGCTGGAAGGCGTCCGCGACCGAGTAGCTGGCGTCCTTGAAGGTCATGAAGAGCAGGCGCTGGCTAAACACGGCCGTGCAGCTTTTCTTGACGAGCTCCGTGAGCGTGCTAAAGTCGCGCTGGCGCTCGTCGCTCAGCAGCAGCAGCTCGTCCTCGATCGACGGCTCGCTCGTCCCTGCCTCAAGCGTGCTCATCGAGTACCCGCCAACTGATGGAAGTCGGAAATCCCGTTGGCCCTGTTTTTATTTTCTTATTTTTAGAAATTGAATAAAAAGTCGCAACCCATCAACATCTCCCGGCATGGCATCGGCATGGCCGAGCCAGGCGGCGGCCCTCGCATGGCGTCATCGCAGCCGGCCACGGAACATGCGTCGCCTCTCATCTCGGTGGCTGGTGTTGCTCATTGCATTTGGCCATGGGCGGCGAAAGCATACATCGCGTCCATGTCCCGACAGGCTGGCCGAGCATCGTCCTCACGGGCGCCTACCGAAGTGCATGACGCCGAGGCGAGCACTTGAGCATTTGCAGGAAGGCGGCGTGGCTTTTGCGACCAAGAAAGTAAATATAGCAGACCGTTGTTGTCGATAACGCCCGAGGTTTCTCCATTTTGAAGAGACGACCGATGCAAGGCTCGGGCGGCTTCGAGTACTCGGCCGCGCCGCGCTCGGTCGCTGTGAAGCGGTCCAAGTACCGGGATCCGTCGAGCTCGTACGCCCTCGCCGTCTCTTCTGGACGCTGACTTCATCGGCTCGAATAGCAGCGTCGACAAGTCGCAGAACCTCATGTTTGACCGGCGCATCGTGCGAGGCAGCACGTTTGCCGGCGGCAAGCCCGCGCCCGAGGTATGTGGCATCTCATTCGAGGAGTATTCACCCCATCTCACGCCGTCTGCGTAGTCGATGGATGCGAAGCCGAAGCTCAAGAAGAAGCCGTCGCCGTCGGAGCTCCCACCGCAGCGCAACGACCGCCCCGCGACGCCGCCACCCATGGACGGCCGGCAGCACATGGACATTCAGACAGAGAACTACCTCGAGGAGCTCACGGACAAGGTGCCCGAGATGGACGTCGAGACGCAGACCGAAGCGTTCCTGGACCAACTGCCCGTTCCGACGTTCGTGCCGCAGAAGAGCGGCACGGACGCGTCGACGCAGATCGAGGCCGGCGACCTCTTTGACTTTGACCTGGAGGTGGCGCCGATCCTCGAGGTGCTAGTGGGGAAAGCACTCGAAGTCTCGGTCATGGAGGTCCTAGAAGAAGAAGAGATCAAGGAGATTCGGCTGCGCCAAGATATCTTTGAACAGCAGCGCAACGCCGAGCTCGCCGAGGTCCAGCGGCTCGAAGCCGAAGCGAAGCGCAAGTACGACGAGAAGCAGCGGCGTCTCGAAGAGGAGAAGGCGCGACTCGTCGCGCAGTCCGAGCTCCAGGAGAAGCTCGCGGCGCGGTCCTTTGCCAAGCACTACCTCTCGGACCTGCACTCGAGCGTCTTTACGAACCTCGTGACGACGGGCCACTTCCAGGACCCGCTCGAGCGCGAAGTCAAGGACGCGTTCGTGCCCTTCTTGCTCCGAAAAGCGTGTACGAACGTCGACCAGATCGTCTTTGCAAGGGCGCTGGCCGACCTCGTCGTTGCCGACACGATGGCGCGAAAGCTGCCCGAGACCCGTAGCTAGCCGTAGAACACACTTACTATCCTCCTACTTGACCCTGTAATGTATAAACGACGCCCAGTGGCTTCGACTTCGGGCTGCTAGCAAGGCGGCGGTCATGGCGAGGGATCCACCGCCACCGCTAGGCCGTAGCCAAACGTCCATGCGCCTTCGCCCGACGTAGCCCAAGCCCCATGCTCTTGGTCCCACGAGGGGCATCCAAGAGGAAGCAGCCTGCGGGTACATGCATGTAGCTCCACCCTTCCATCGTCCGGCCACAGCCATGCCATGCGACGCGCGTGGCGTCCATCTTGATCTTGATGGCGGAGGGTCGCCGACCGTTGGGTCTTAAAAATATCCACCAATCACAGCGCGCGAAAGCCTATTTTTAGATGCGATTGGCTGCGCGTGGCAACGTCAGTGAGCAATCGTCGACTTCGACCGCACAGCAGCATGTTCAAGCCCACGGACGACGACCGAGACGACGCGGTCATCGACAGCATCCCCGAGACGCGCAACCTCATGCAGGACAAGCTGCGGAAGGCCTTTGCGGAAGGCCTTGGGACCATGATCCTCGTCCTCATCGGCGACGGCGTCGTCGCGCAGACCGTCATCTCGCAGCAGATGGAGATTCGCAACGCCCAGCTCACGAGCAACCCGCTGGATGCGACCGCGTTCGCCGGTGACTGGATGTCCATCTCGATCGGCTTTGGCATCGCGCTCATGCTCGGCATCTACGTCTCCGGCGGCGTCTCGGGCGGCCACCTCAACCCCGCCGTGTCCATCACGATGGCGGTCTTCAAGCGCCTCGACTGGGCGTACGTGCCCTACTACATTGGCGGCCAAACCCTCGGCGCGTTCGTCGGCGCAATGTTTGTGTACCTCGCGTACCGCCCCGCGCTCCTCTACCTCAACATTTGGGACCAGACGACGGCCGGCATCTTTGCGACGTACCCGAAAGCGCACATGACGCTCACGGAAGGCTTCATCGACGAGATCGTCGGTTCGTTCCTCCTCCTGCTCGGCATCTTCGCCATCACGGACAAGCGCAACAACCCCGCGGATGCCGGAAGCCGCCCCGCGATCATTGGCATGCTCCTCACCGGCATCGCCATGTCGTTTGGCTACAACACGGGCTTTGCGCTCAACCCCGCAAGAGACTTTGGCCCGCGCTTCTTCACGCTCATGGCGGGCTGGGGCGGCGACGTCTTTGTTTACGGCAACGGGTACTTTTGGGTACCCATGTTCGCGCCCATCTTTGGTGGCCTCGGCGGCGCCTTCGTCTACGCCAACTGCATCGAGCGCTTTCACCCGCAGTATGTGCCCGGCATGCGACCAAGCTCGTCGACCATCGACGACGAAGCCTAGTAGCTACTGCATAACCACCAACATGATGTATACGACTACGATCGCAGGGGTCCTCGCCGTGCTGCACGATCGCCCTTCTCCTATCCGGTCGTATCATCCGGATGCCACAAAGCGCTCGCCTTGAACCATGGAGACGCTCCTGCCGCTGCTGCGAGCGACGCCGTCGTCCGCAAGCCTATTAAGCAACGCGTCGGCTGTGGCGCAACTCGCCAACGCAGTGCAAGCTATCCGGAGAACAGATCGCGCGGCCGCGCCCATTGCGCGCCCGTCAACCGAGGCGGACCTCGCCGACTTTGAGGCGTGGTTCGCCGGTGCAGTCGGGGCCAGCGATGCCAAGTACACGTTTCGGCACATGGGCCCTGCGCAGGGCAATGGCGTCGTGGCCTCATGTGCGATTGCGGCGGGCGAGCGCGTGCTCTTCGTGCCCGAGCACCTTCTCTTGACGTCGAGTACGGCGCAGCTACCGAGCTTTGCGCCGCTGCAAGCCGACCCGCTTTTGAGCCAGTTTCCATCGGCCATGCTAGCGCTCCGCCTCTTGTACGAGATGCAACAAGGCGCCAAGTCGCCGCTCGCAGCGTACCTGCGCATTCTGCCATCGCGATTCTACCTTCCGTTCGACTACAGCGGCGACGACTTTGCCGCCCTCATGTCCACCATGGCGTACGCACCGGCCGTCCAGCTCCTCTACAACGGCCTCAAGCAGTACACGTACTTGCACGCGCGTCTCTCGAGTCTCTCGCTCGTTCCGATATCGACCTTTACTCTCGAGAACTTTCTCTGGGCCACGTCCGTCGTGCTCACGCGGCAGAACAACGTGCCGACGCCCGCCGACCCACGCGCCCTCGCGCTCATTCCTGGCTGGGACCTCTGCAACCACGCGCCAGGCGCCATCACTACGTACTTCGAGGCGGCGCAGCGCGGCGTGGTCTGCGACGCTATGACGTCGTTTGCGCCCGGCGAGCAGCTCACCATCTTTTACGGTCCACGCCCCAACGCCGAGCTGCTCGTGTACTCTGGCTTCTGCCTTCCGGTCAACGCCTACGACACGCTCCGCCTGCGCCTCGTCGCAGGCCCCGATGACGCGCTCTGGAAGGTGCGGGCGATGGTGCTCACCAAGCTCGGCGCGACGCTTGATGGCGACGCCGCGCTGGTCCGCGTGACGTCGGACGGCGCATTCGCTGCGGCCATTGACCAACGCACGACGCACGTCCTGCTGCTCGACAAGGCCGGCCTCGGCGCAGCGCTTCGGTCGCTTCCTGCGTTCCTGCCGTGGACCGACGAGGTGGCGGCGCGCGCCAAATCACTGCTGGCGCAGGCCGCAGCAGCGCAGCTCGCGAGCCTGCAGCAACAACCGGGCGCCCACGCTGCCGTCGTCGCCGCGTACGTTGCTTCGGAAGCCGCGCTCCTACAGCGCCTTCTCGGCTCGCAGCAGTAGACACAGAAGCAAGACTCGAAAAACAAAGTCGTTTTTAATCGTCCTATTTCGTGCGCGGGTCGTGACGTGGCACGCGCACGCGCAAGAAATCACTGGCGTCGACGACCGCCATGCGTCCGGACGCGGCGCGAGCTTCGTCGACGAGCGACTGCACCGAGCGCGCGCTCGCCCGCGAGTAGCTAAACCGGCTGCTGAAGTGCGTCAGCACGAGCAGGGTCGCGTTGCTCAGCCGGGCGAACGCACCCGCCATCGAGCTTGTCGAGTGTCCTCGGGGCACGGCCTAAGAGACGCATCTTTATCAGCGCTCCATCGGTAGCTCGATGTAGGATGTTGACCTGTGCGAGCATGCTGTGCGGCAGCGTCGACTCGTGCACCAAGACCTACAGCCATGTAAGAAGAGCGCATGGCACGAGGCAGAGAGGTGTACGTCGGCGTTGCGGGCGAGCTCCGTCATGGCCAGCGAGTCGCTCGAGTCGCCCAGAATGGCCACTTTGCGGCCGCGAATCGGGGGTGTCATGACCTAATTATGCTGCCTTCGAGTGCGCTCAACAAGAGAGCTCGCATACGTCTTTCGGTTCCAAGAGCGAGCCGTCGGGCAGTGGCACGGCCCGGCCTTCCTTTAGCTCCTTGTACAGCGGGCCGGGCGGGAGACCGCGGGCTTTGGCGAGGGCGGCGTTGATGTGTCCTGGCCGCGTCTGCTCTTCGACGACATAGCCGAAGCAAGGCACGGTGTGCTGGAGGAAGCCAGCGCGGACGCGATAGGTGGCGTCGTCGAGGATGTGCCAGACAGGCGTGTCGCCGCTCGTGTCCGGGTGGATCAAGTGGTGCTGCAGGCACTATGGGACGCACGATTCTTAGGAGGATACATTGCGATGCAGTCGCACTACCTCGTGCATCGGTCCGCGCTCGCGCTTGCGGCTGCTTCGCGCGTCGCATAGTGGCACGAGCTCGTGCACGGCGATGCGGATGTTGGTCATATTGGCGCGGCTCACGTTGAGCGCCGTGTTGAGGAACGCAAAGACGCCACGGGGGCCGTAGATCGAAATCAGTTTGGGCGTCGGACGCTTCGTCTCGCGGTCAATGGTGGGGCCGCAGAGCGAGTTGAGCGTGCACACGAGGCCCGGGAGGCCGTACACGTGGTCGCCGTGCAAGTGCGTCAAGAAGATGCGCTCCGTCGTCGTTGCGCGCACGTTGCTCTGGAACATTTGCTTCTGCGAGCCCTCGCCGCAGTCAAAGAGCCACGCGGCGCCATGGAGCTGGAGCACGAGGCCGCTCGCATTGCGCTCGATGGACGGCGCGCCGGCGCCCGTGCCGAGGAAGACGAGCTCAAACCCGGTAAAGGACTCTGTATCGGGGCGGCGCAGCTCCGCGAGTCGGCAAAGAGCTTGGGCACGGACGTGAGGCGCAGGCGCCGCCACGCGCGCGGGAGCATCTCGGCGAGTGGTTCGAATTTGACGCTCGGGCCAATCAGAATCGAGAATGGCAAATTTAGATACGGCAACGTCGATGCGCAAGACCGACGAGCCGCACCGACCGACGTACAGCGAAGTCGTGGCGACGCTCGGGAAGCTCGGGGACCTCGGGCGCAAGTTTGAAGACACGGAGAAGCTGCTATTGCGCCTTCTGGAGTTCTCGCAAGTCGCGCCGAAGCGGGCAGCCATCTTGGCGGCCAACGGCATCCACGTCGTTGCGATGCACTTGCGCAACGCCGAGAACTCGGTGATTCAGCAGCGCACGGCGGCGTACGTCCACGTAGCATCTGCAATGTAGAGTACGACGATGCGTGGTGTAGCATTCTTCTCAACTTGGGGCAAAGCGAGAATGGCCGGCTCGCGATCGCGTCCTGCCACAGGTGTGTCTCGACACGTGCGCTGGCGCAGTGACAGCCGGCGTAGCTGGTCGTGCTTGTCGTACCGCCACGAATGTCCTCTCGCGTACTTGCTCCAAGTGGCCATAAACACGCAGGATATCGTGCTCAAGCGCATCTGCATGGGCGCAGTCATCAACTGCTCGTTCCACGCCGCGTGCCACGCGCACTTGGACGAGATCCACGGCACGCCGCTTCTCCTCAAGCTTCTCGACACCAACGATGAAGGTAGTTGACTCGTCACTGCGTATTGACGCAGGCGGCTCGTAGACGTTGCCGTGTACACGGCAGCCACGCTCTGGTGCTTGTGCAAGGACCGCAACTTTATCATTCGCCTCGAGGTACTCCTTGCTGTAGCGGAATGGTGATTGCGACGACCCGCCGCAGACGATCTACTGCCTGCCCGCGGAAGGATTCATGCGGAAACTGTCGCTGATTCTCTGGACCCGCTGCATGCACTTTGGCCTGGCCTTGACGACGAGCCCGTACTCGTCCGACGCCACCGGTCTGCTCGAGAGGTCGTCGTCGTGCACTGTCATCGCTCTTCTGACCTATCTTGCAGCACGGGCGAGAACCTGGACCTCGTCTTTACGACTGCGATCAGCACGAACCTCTCGCTGCTACTGCAGATGGAGCACTACAGCGTCAAGCGTGCGCAAGCCACCGTCTAGATACACTTGCTTGGCTTTCGACAGTCTCATTCGAATTGCGTAGGTTCAAAGCGCCATGCAGTACAAGAGTGTGCAAAAGTTCAACCACGACGGCGTCCTCGTCGCGACGACGTGTGCCAAGTGCGCCAAGCCCGTCAAGGACAAGCACCGGCTGAGCTGCGCCAACGACAAGTGCAACGAGGTCTACCACGTGCGTTGCAGCCGGTGGCGGCGCATCGACTTGCATACAATCCAAGACAACCGCGGTGGGTTCTACTGCGACGTGTGCTTTCCCAAGTGTCCGCTCCAGTACCTCGACTTCGCGGCCGCCGAGGGCAGCGCTATTTTGACCAAGCGCGACTTTGACGTGCTCGGCATCACGCACGACAGCGAGAACGCGCTCTGTATGCTCCAGGCGCCGTCGCTGGACGTCATAGCGGTTGGCACTCGCAAGTACGCTTGCACGAGCAAGCACGACCTCGCAGTGGTCCACATCACGGCAACGGTGCGGGCGTGCGTCTCGCTCTGCCACAACAACCAGCCACCACTCGCGATGTCGACGCAAAACCCGTGGACGTTTGAGTGTTTCCAGACGACGGCCGCGTCCGAGCTCACGCTGCATCGGCTAGCGCTATGGCCAGCGACCAAAGCGATTCCCATCGACCCGAACGCGTACTTGCGCAAGTCAAGAACGGAGCTGGACCAAGCAACCGTGTTCGAGTGCAGCGCCGGCAGCAAGAACGCATCGGTATTTGCACTTGGCAGCGCCGACGGCCACGAACTCTGGTCGGCCTTGCACCCCAGCCGCGCCAAGTGTATGAAGCTCGTCTCGGAGACGCTCGCTGCATCCAAGGGCGCCCCGAAGACGCGCACCAAGCCACACATCCAACGCACGCTCGAGCGCCAGCCCAGCGCAGGTCGCATGTAATCGTATCAACTTGATACTTTTGAGGCGCAACCCGAAACGGCGTGTATATATCGGTTCAGGTCGCCATGCCAGGTGGATCTCGCGACCTCGAGGTGGAGGTGGGCGCGCTTCTCCGGCGCCTCGTCGCGTTCGCCGACGAGATGGCCGTGCCGCGGGACGTCATGGGCGTCGATGACGTCGTCGCGCGCCTCGTCACCACCGTGAGTCTCTTTGACGACGCGGCGTCGACGACCCAGTTGCAGCTGTACGCGCTGCTGCACGCAGCACGCGTAGCCAATGCGAGCAGCCACTCCCACGGTGCGATATTCTGTGTGCGATGTGAAAAAACGCATCTCTCAGAGCTTAGAGGTCAACGAGATGCGCCGGCTCGCCGCCTCCGTGCACAATTCTCGCGGAAGGCACGCCCACGTGCATCGCCAAGTCGCCGCGCTCCTCGACCCTGCACCATCGCTCGAGTCGCCCACTCGGCTCGAAGGTGTCGACGAGGTATGAGACGCGTCTGTTCTGATACTACCGGCATCACCACAGCGGGATTAGGACGAGCTCGAGGAGCGCTGGGACGAGCATGGCCGATGCAGCTATCTCCGTACGGTCGTGACGGAGTGTCCGCCTTGCTCACCGTACGACGTAGGACGAAATGTGCTCGGCAACAAGTACGCGCCGCGCCACGACTGTGGCGCGTTCCGCCGGTTCCCTGGAAATGACGCGGACATTTACACGCTCGTGCGGCAGCGGCGCAAGGAGAAGCTGCTGGAAACCGAGATGCGGCGCTTGGCGCGGCTCAACAAGAAGCCACCGCAAGGCAATCATGGGCTGTCCGTCGGCACGGCAAGTCACTACATATCGGTCGATGACGCTATGTAATTGATTCAACGATTACATGCGGAACGGCAGCGCGGCGTCGTCTTTGACCAAGCGGTTGGAGATGCTCTGGAGCACGTTGAGGTCGTCGACGGTAAACATCTCGGGCTGCGCCTGGAGGAAGAGCGAGAGCTGCGTCACGGCGGACTGCGCGACGCTGCTGTTGGTGATCGCAGGCATGACGTCGTCGTGGAGAACGGTGGGCACAGGCGGCTCGTTTTCGTCGTCGTCTGGCGTTGCGAGCGGCTCGTCGTGCATCGGCGTCGCTTCCGGCGGCTCCTTCCCGTAGATCATCACATGCAGCGCGCGCCACTCGCTCTGGATCTGCTGGCGCGTGTTCTCCGCGAGGACCGCGTCGACGTCGTGGCCTTCCTCGATCCAGATGGACGGCACCCACCCGGCTTTGCGCCAATGGCTCTTGATGACGTGGCGGGGAAGTCTTTCCAGAGCTGGACGCACCAGAGGAGGACTTGCTCCGGCGCAATCGTGGGGTGGACGAGGCTCTCGGACAGCATACCGTCCGCGTCGTGGGCCTCCATGACGGAAGAGAGCTGCCATTTCAGGTGGGCGAGCTTGTACTGGAGCTGGAAGAGCCGGCCGACACCCATGTTGATGGGCGACGGGCATTTGCGCGGCAGGAAAAACACCGTCGTGTGCGACAGCTGGATCCGCGTCGCTTGCAGCTGCGACGCGGCGGTCGGGCGGCCGTTCAAGCAGTGGCTCGGCGTCTGGTCGACGAAGCAGATGGCGTGGCGCGCCAATTGCGCCATCTTGGCGTTGAAGTGCAGCATGTACTTGGAGAAGAGCTCTTTGCCCATGCTCGCGCGCGGCAACACGTCGACGTGGACGTACTCGGACGCGTTCATCATGTCGCTGAACTGCGCGGCCTCGGTGCTCTTGCGAATGCAGGCCATCGCCGTGTTCTCGCTCCCGACCATGTTGGTCATGAGGCCAACCACGAGGCGATGGCCACTCGTTGTCGCCGATGACGACGAGCCGCCAAAGCAGAGCTGGACTTCGTCAAAGTGAAAGATGTCGTCGGGTTTGTTGCTATTGTCCAAAATGAGCTTCTGGATAAGCTCGGCCCAGTTGTCCGTGTCGAGGTCCGACGGGCGTGGCAGCGCTTTCGTCGGCGTCGGCATCGACGGCGCATCGCTGCTGGCGGTCATGCGAATGTTGTGGCGCCGCTTGAAGTTCTGGACCCACCCGTTCGAGATCTTGAAGTCCTCCTCCTTGATGTTGTACTCTTCGCGGAGACGCTCGGCGTGCGTGGTCAAGATCGCGTCCGAGAGCCGGCCGCCTTGGGCGCGCACCTGCTGCAGCAGTAGGCTGAGGCCATGCTCGAGCGCTTCGAACTTGCCGCCACGCACGCGCTTCCGGCTAAGCAGCGATGGGTCCATCGCGAGCCACTTGTCCTTGTCCTTGAGCGTCTTGGTCACATTGAGCCGGGCGACGCGCCGGGCGTCCGGGTCCTCAAGCGTTCGGTTGTACTCATCGGCGATCTGCTGGTGCGTCCACTTGTCCTGGAGCTGGTAGATCTCGCAGATCCGCTTCTTCTCGGCGAGCGACAGCGCCAACCGCGTCGGCTTCTTTGGCTCGGTGGTCATTCGCCGCCCGTTAGTAGAACGTCCAGTTCTTGTATCCAGTCCACTCGTCGCAACCGGATTACGAGCGCCTTAAATAATGATAGCGAGCCAAAAAGTAATATACAGCAATCGGATCCGGACTGGCAACAGTTGCCGCCAATGTCGTTGCCAACGTGGGCGGATTGGGACTGCCCGCGCTGCTCGCTCATCAACACGCCCGACTGCGACGCATGCGAAGCATGCGATCTGGCACGCCCTGGTAGACTCCTTGCTTCGGCGTCGTCAGCTCACGGCCATGCGTAGATGCGGTGGCGGCGGATCCACGGGCCGCCTTCTTCAACATGGCACTGGCCAGCGCCGGCTCCAAACGGCCGATCGCCGATGTGGTCGACTTGGCCTCGAGCGACGACGACGACGACGAGAAGGAAGAGATTGTGGGCCAAAAACCGTGTTGGGAGATGAAACACCCAGCAAAGCGGCGCAAGACAGACCCCGACGCCACGCCCACTGGTGCATCTACCGAGTCCGCAGCGCGTACGGCCGAACCCGAAGGGCCGGTAACCTTGCGCGTGGCGTCGCTCAATGTGTGGTTCGACGAGGTGCTCGTGTCCGACCGCGTTCGTTGCATGACCCACACCATCGCGACGTTGCAGCCGCACGTCGTCTTCCTCCAGGAGGTCACGCCCGACATGTGTCGCCTCTTCAAGGCGCGCATGGTGCACTTCGGGTACGTCTCGCCGAGCGACGTGGTCGATGTCGCGTACGGGGAAATGATCTTTCTCCAGCGGTCGCTGCCTGTCCACCACTACGAGCGCGTCGACTTTCCACGCAGCACCATGGGCCGGGGCCTGCACACGCTCGAGACGACAGTGGGCGGCCAGCGCTTCGTCGCGGCGACCGCGCACCTTGAAAGCCTCGGACCCAACCGCGCCGTGCGCCTCGAGCAGCTCGACTGGAGCTTCCAGGTCCTTGCGACGTCCGATCACCCGTGGGTCTTTGGCGGCGACATGAACCTCGGCAACCGCGACAAGGCGCCGCTCCCAGAGGGCGTGGACGATGCGTGGGTCGCGTGCGGCTGCGACCCGCTGCACGAGCATACGTGGGACACGAGCGTCAACAAGAACCTCCCCGGCGTCGCCTACGTCGCCAAGTGTCGGTTTGACCGCATCTTCAGCCACGGACTCGCGCCGACGACCTTTACGACGTTTGGCAAGGACACGCTTCCGACCGACGCAGCCATGTACCCCTCGGACCACTGGGGTGTGGCCGCGTCGTACTCCTTTTCTTAAGTTTTTCGTCAACACACCCAAGCCTCATGAGACAGTCCTTGCCGTCGTTCCATCAAGCACTCGCTGTCGTCACGCTCGATCGGCGAGCAGAGACCACCGTTCTGCAATGGAGCTTGTCATCAACCAATGACAGACGCTGGAAAACAATTACAAGACGCTTTGACATGACGACTCTATCTTAGCACTCGAGAAGCGACGCGTGGGCGTCCGAGACCTCGAGCAAGCCGCCGCTAAAGTCGGCCGAGAGTCGCTCGAGAAATGAAAATGAGTTGGTGCGCTGGCCGCGGACGCGGCGCCCGCTGTCGTCCGAACCAAAGCTCTCTCGAAATGACATGTCGACTTCCGAGCCGCTCACGGGGCTCCCGGCGGCGCTGTGGCTCGTGATGCTGCTCACGTCACTGGCTTTTCGGTGCAAGTACGATACGACGTTGGCACGGTCGCGCATGAGGCGGGCGTTCTCGAGGTGCATCTGACGCGCGTTCAGCGACTGCACGTGACGCGCCGTGGCCGGAAGCGGACGTGTGTCGGCGCATATCGGGCGGCGACACACTCG